ACTAGTTTCCGAACTTAACTGCGTTGGAATAACTGTAGATAAATCCCTAGTCGAAAGACTGGATTTCCCATTAACATTCGCTCCTAATGAATCAGAACTTTTTAACGATTGAGTTGAAGAATAAGATTCAGTCGAAGGTGTAACAGAAATGTGAGCCGAAGTCGTGCTTGTGATTATTGTAGAAATATAATCTGTATTAGATAGAACAGTAGATGTTGGAATTATTTTTGAATCAGTGAAATCTGTTGGGATAGTAAAAGTCGAGCTTTCGATTGCTTCAAAGATTGGTGTTGTTTCAGAAGACATATCGCCTAAGGAAGAATCATATTTTCCAGTTGTGTACAAAAGGCCTCCAGATGACTCCGTGTTACAGTCATTACCAATACACTGAGGTTGAGTCCTAGAAGAATAATATGAATCACAGCCTTCAGTTTTTTGATCTTTTGTAGTTTCTTGAACTTGTGAAATGTGGTTATTTATTTCAGATATATCAGAACTAGAATCCACGATGAGTGAAGAGACATGAGTATGAACAGATGATGTAGTATCAGATGTATATGTGTAATACGGATTTGATAAGGATTTCGTTCTTGATGTCTGAGAAGCAGCATATGTCTTAGTAGTCATCCTGACATCAGCATTTACAGAAGCTAATTTAGAACTGATACTCGAGTACGGGGAACATATAGAGCCAGTTTTATCTATACTCAATTCAGAAGAGAGGCTAGATACACTAGTAGAAGGATGGGAAAATTCAATAGTCGAAGAATTATAATACCCTAAAGAACTGGAAAAGGATGAAACTACGAAATCATTATTGGTAGAACTATAATCTTCAGAATTAATGGAGTCCTCAATAATCTCCGAAAACAAAAAACTAGATGAAATAGAAATACTATCAAAACAAAACACACTACTGGTACTGACAAACACAACGGTGGTGGTGACTGGAGCTGGAACTGATGCACCATGTAGAGTGTAGGTGGTGGAAGTAACGATTTCGTTGTCTTCAGAATCAACAGTCTTGTAGAATGAAACTACATCGGTTTCGGTTGAGCTGCCAGACACAACGGTGGTGGTGAAGGCAGATGGAACTGATGCACCATGTAGAGTGTAGGTGGTGGAAGTAACGATTTCGTTGCCTTCAGAATCAACAGTCTTGTAGAATGAGACTACATCGGTTTCAGTTGAGCTGCCAGACACAACGGTGGTGGTGACTGGAGCTGGAACTGATGCACCATGTAGAGTGTAAGTGGTGGAAGTAACGATTTCGTTGCCTTCAGAATCAACAGTCTTGTAGAATGAGACTACATCGGTTTCAGTTGAGCTGCCAGACACAACGGTGGTGGTGACTGGAGCTGGAACTGATGCACCATGTAGAGTGTAGGTGGTGGAAGTAACGATTTCGTTGCCTTCAGAATCAACAGTCTTGTAGAATGAGACTACATCGGTTTCAGTTGAGCTGCCAGACACAACGGTGGTGGTGAAGGCAGATGGAACTGATGCACCATGTAGAGTGTAGGTGGTGGAAGTAACGATTTCGTTGCCTTCAGAATCAACAGTCTTGTAGAATGAGACTACATCGGTTTCAGTTGAGCTGCCAGACACAACGGTGGTGGTGACTGGAGCTGGAACTGATGCACCATGTAGAGTGTAAGTGGTGGAAGTAACGATTTCGTTGTCTTCAGAATCAACAGTCTTGTAGAATGAGACTACATCGGTTTCAGTTGAGCTGCCAGACACAACGGTGGTGGTGACTGGAGCTGGAACTGATGCACCATGTAGAGTGTAAGTGGTGGAAGTAACGATTTCGTTGTCTTCAGAATCAACAGTCTTGTAGAATGAGACTACATCGGTTTCGGTTGAGCTGCCAGACACAACGGTGGTGGTGACTGGAGCTGGAACTGATGCACCATGTAGAGTGTAGGTGGTGGAAGTAACGATTTCGTTGCCTTCAGAATCAACAGTCTTGTAGAATGAGACTACATCGGTTTCAGTTGAGCTGCCAGACACAATGGTGGTGGTGATTGGAGCTGGAACTGATGCACCATGTAGAGTGTAGGTGGTGGAAGTAACGATTTCGTTGTCTTCAGAATCAACAGTCTTGTAGAATGAGACTACATCGGTTTCGGTTGAGCTGCCAGACACAACGGTGGTGGTGAAGGCAGATGGAACTGATGCACCATGTAGAGTGTAGGTGGTGGAAGTAACGATTTCGTTGTCTTCAGAATCAACAGTCTTGTAGAATGAGACTACATCGGTTTCGGTTGAGCTGCCAGACACAACGGTGGTGGTGACTGGAGCTGGAACTGATGCACCATGTAGAGTGTAGGTGGTGGAAGTAACGATTTCGTTGCCTTCAGAATCAACAGTCTTGTAGAATGAGACTACATCGGTTTCGGTTGAGCTGCCAGACACAACGGTGGTGGTGACTGGAGCTGGAACTGATGCACCATGTAGAGTGTAGGTGGTGGAAGTAACGATTTCGTTGTCTTCAGAATCAACAGTCTTGTAGAATGAGACTACATCGGTTTCGGTTGAGCTGCCAGACACAACGGTGGTGGTGACTGGAGCTGGAACTGATGCACCATGTAGAGTGTAGGTGGTGGAAGTAACGATTTCGTTGTCTTCAGAATCAACAGTCTTGTAGAATGAGACTACATCGGTTTCGGTTGAGCTGCCAGACACAACGGTGGTGGTGACTGGAGCTGGAACTGATGCACCATGTAGAGTGTAGGTGGTGGAAGTAACGATTTCGTTGCCTTCAGAATCAACAGTCTTGTAGAATGAGACTACATCGGTTTCAGTTGAGCTGCCAGACACAACGGTGGTGGTGACTGGAGCTGGAACTGATGCACCATGTAGAGTGTAGGTGGTGGAAGTAACGATTTCGTTGCCTTCAGAATCAACAGTCTTGTAGAATGAGACTACATCGGTTTCAGTTGAGCTGCCAGACACAATGGTGGTGGTGATTGGAGCTGGAACTGATGCACCATGTAGAGTGTAGGTGGTGGAAGTAACGATTTCGTTGTCTTCAGAATCAACAGTCTTGTAGAATGAGACTACATCGGTTTCAGTTGAGCTGCCAGACACAACGGTGGTGGTGACTGGAGCTGGAACTGATGCATCATGTAGAGTGTAGGTGGTGGAAGTAACGATTTCGTTGCCTTCAGAATCAACAGTCTTGTAGAATGAGACTACATCGGTTTCAGTTGAGCTGCCAGACACAACGGTGGTGGTGACTGGAGCTGGAACTGATGCACCATGTAGAGTGTAGGTGGTGGAAGTAACGATTTCGTTGTCTTCAGAATCAACAGTCTTGTAGAATGAGACTACATCGGTTTCGGTTGAGCTGCCAGACACAACGGTGGTGGTGAAGGCAGATGGAACTGATGCACCATGTAGAGTGTAGGTGGTGGAAGTAACGATTTCGTTGCCTTCAGAATCAACAGTCTTGTAGAATGAGACTACATCGGTTTCAGTTGAGCTGCCAGACACAACGGTGGTGGTGACTGGAGCTGGAACTGATGCACCATGTAGAGTGTAGGTGGTGGAAGTAACGATTTCGTTGCCTTCAGAATCAACAGTCTTGTAGAATGAGACTACATCGGTTTCGGTTGAGCTGCCAGACACAACGGTGGTGGTGACTGGAGCTGGAACTGATGCACCATGTAGAGTGTAGGTGGTGGAAGTAACGATTTCGTTGCCTTCAGAATCAACAGTCTTGTAGAATGAGACTACATCGGTTTCAGTTGAGCTGCCAGACACATTGGTGGTGGTGATTGGAGCTGGAACTGATGCACCATGTAGAGTGTAGGTGGTGGAAGTAACGATTTCGTTGCCTTCAGAATCAACAGTCTTGTAGAATGAGACTACATCGGTTTCAGTTGAGCTGCCAGACACAACGGTGGTGGTGACTGGAGCTGGAACTGATGCACCATGTAGAGTGTAGGTGGTGGAAGTAACGATTTCGTTGTCTTCAGAATCAACAGTCTTGTAGAATGAGACTACATCGGTTTCGGTTGAGCTGCCAGACACAACGGTGGTGGTGACTGGAGCTGGAACTGATGCACCATGTAGAGTGTAGGTGGTGGAAGTAACGATTTCGTTGCCTTCAGAATCAACAGTCTTGTAGAATGAGACTACATCGGTTTCGGTTGAGCTGCCAGACACAACGGTGGTGGTGACTGGAGCTGGAACTGATGCACCATGTAGAGTGTAGGTGGTGGAAGTAACGATTTCGTTGCCTTCAGAATCAACAGTCTTGTAGAATGAGACTACATCGGTTTCAGTTGAGCTGCCAGACACAACGGTGGTGGTGACTGGAGCTGGAACTGATGCACCATGTAGAGTGTAGGTGGTGGAAGTAACGATTTCGTTGTCTTCAGAATCAACAGTCTTGTAGAATGAGACTACATCGGTTTCAGTTGAGCTGCCAGACACAACGGTGGTGGTGAAGGCAGATGGAACTGATGCACCATGTAGAGTGTAGGTGGTGGAAGTAACGATTTCGTTGCCTTCAGAATCAACAGTCTTGTAGAATGAGACTACATCGGTTTCAGTTGAGCTGCCAGACACAATGGTGGTGGTGATTGGAGCTGGAACTGATGCACCATGTAGAGTGTAGGTGGTGGAAGTAACGATTTCGTTGCCTTCAGAATCAACAGTCTTGTAGAATGAGACTACATCGGTTTCAGTTGAGCTGCCAGACACAACGGTGGTGGTGACTGGAGCTGGAACTGATGCACCATGTAGAGTGTAGGTGGTGGAAGTAACGATTTCGTTGCCTTCAGAATCAACAGTCTTGTAGAATGAGACTACATCGGTTTCAGTTGAGCTGCCAGACACAACGGTGGTGGTGACTGGAGCTGGAACTGATGCACCATGTAGAGTGTAGGTGGTGGAAGTAACGATTTCGTTGCCTTCAGAATCAACAGTCTTGTAGAATGAGACTACATCGGTTTCGGTTGAGCTGCCAGACACAACGGTGGTGGTGACTGGAGCTGGAACTGATGCACCATGTAGAGTGTAGGTGGTGGAAGTAACGATTTCGTTGTCTTCAGAATCAACAGTCTTGTAGAATGAGACTACATCGGTTTCGGTTGAGCTGCCAGACACAACGGTGGTGGTGACTGGAGCTGGAACTGATGCACCATGTAGAGTGTAGGTGGTGGAAGTAACGATTTCGTTGTCTTCAGAATCAACAGTCTTGTAGAATGAGACTACATCGGTTTCAGTTGAGCTGCCAGACACAACAGTGGTGGTGAAGGCAGATGGAACTGATGCACCATGTAGAGTGTAGGTGGTGGAAGTAACGATTTCGTTGTCTTCAGAATCAACAGTCTTGTAGAATGAGACTACATCGGTTTCAGTTGAGCTGCCAGACACAACGGTGGTGGTGACTGGAGCTGGAACTGATGCACCATGTAGAGTGTAGGTGGTGGAAGTAACGATTTCGTTGCCTTCAGAATCAACAGTCTTGTAGAATGAGACTACATCGGTTTCAGTTGAGCTGCCAGACACAATGGTGGTGGTGATTGGAGCTGGAACTGATGCACCATGTAGAGTGTAGGTGGTGGAAGTAACGATTTCGTTGTCTTCAGAATCAACAGTCTTGTAGAATGAGACTACATCGGTTTCAGTTGAGCTGCCAGACACAACGGTGGTGGTGACTGGAGCTGGAACTGATGCACCATGTAGAGTGTAGGTGGTGGAAGTAACGATTTCGTTGCCTTCAGAATCAACAGTCTTGTAGAATGAGACTACATCGGTTTCAGTTGAGCTGCCAGACACAACGGTGGTGGTGACTGGAGCTGGAACTGATGCACCATGTAGAGTGTAGGTGGTGGAAGTAACGATTTCGTTGTCTTCAGAATCAACAGTCTTGTAGAATGAGACTACATCGGTTTCGGTTGAGCTGCCAGACACAACGGTGGTGGTGAAGGCAGATGGAACTGATGCACCATGTAGAGTGTAGGTGGTGGAAGTAACGATTTCGTTGCCTTCAGAATCAACAGTCTTGTAGAATGAGACTACATCGGTTTCAGTTGAGCTGCCAGACACAACGGTGGTGGTGAAGGCAGATGGAACTGATGCACCATGTAGAGTGTAGGTGGTGGAAGTAACGATTTCGTTGCCTTCAGAATCAACAGTCTTGTAGAATGAGACTACATCGGTTTCAGTTGAGCTGCCAGACACAATGGTGGTGGTGATTGGAGCTGGAACTGATGCACCATGTAGAGTGTAGGTGGTGGAAGTAACGATTTCGTTGCCTTCAGAATCAACAGTCTTGTAGAATGAGACTACATCGGTTTCAGTTGAGCTGCCAGACACAACGGTGGTGGTGACTGGAGCTGGAACTGATGCACCATGTAGAGTGTAGGTGGTGGAAGTAACGATTTCGTTGTCTTCAGAATCAACAGTCTTGTAGAATGAGACTACATCGGTTTCGGTTGAGCTGCCAGACACAACGGTGGTGGTGACTGGAGCTGGAACTGATGCACCATGTAGAGTGTAGGTGGTGGAAGTAACGATTTCGTTGCCTTCAGAATCAACAGTCTTGTAGAATGAGACTACATCGGTTTCGGTTGAGCTGCCAGACACAACGGTGGTGGTGACTGGAGCTGGAACTGATGCACCATGTAGAGTGTAGGTGGTGGAAGTAACGATTTCGTTGTCTTCAGAATCAACAGTCTTGTAGAATGAGACTACATCGGTTTCAGTTGAGCTGCCAGACACAACGGTGGTGGTGAAGGCAGATGGAACTGATGCACCATGTAGAGTGTAGGTGGTGGAAGTAACGATTTCGTTGTCTTCAGAATCAACAGTCTTGTAGAATGAGACTACATCGGTTTCGGTTGAGCTGCCAGACACAACGGTGGTGGTGACTGGAGCTGGAACTGATGCACCATGTAGAGTGTAGGTGGTGGAAGTAACGATTTCGTTGCCTTCAGAATCAACAGTCTTGTAGAATGAGACTACATCGGTTTCGGTTGAGCTGCCAGACACAACGGTGGTGGTGACTGGAGCTGGAACTGATGCACCATGTAGAGTGTAGGTGGTGGAAGTAACGATTTCGTTGTCTTCAGAATCAACAGTCTTGTAGAATGAGACTACATCGGTTTCGGTTGAGCTGCCAGACACAACGGTGGTGGTGATTAGAGCTGGAACTGATGCACCATGTAGAGTGTAGGTGGTGGAAGTAACGATTTCGTTGCCTTCAGAATCAACAGTCTTGTAGAATGAGACTACATCGGTTTCGGTTGAGCTGCCAGACACAACGGTGGTGGTGACTGGAGCTGGAACTGATGCACCATGTAGAGTGTAGGTGGTGGAAGTAACGATTTCGTTGCCTTCAGAATCAACAGTCTTGTAGAATGAGACTACATCGGTTTCAGTTGAGGTGCCAGACACAACGGTGGTGGTGACTGGAGCTGGAACTGATGCACCATGTAGAGTGTAGGTGGTGGAAGTAACGATTTCGTTGTCTTCAGAATCAACAGTCTTGTAGAATGAGACTACATCGGTTTCGGTTGAGCTGCCAGACACAACGGTGGTGGTGACTGGAGCTGGAACTGATGCACCATGTAGAGTGTAGGTGGTGGAAGTAACGATTTCGTTGCCTTCAGAATCAACAGTCTTGTAGAATGAGACTACATCGGTTTCGGTTGAGCTGCCAGACACAACGGTGGTGGTGATTGGAGCTGGAACTGATGCACCATGTAGAGTGTAGGTGGTGGAAGTAACGATTTCGTTGCCTTCAGAATCAACAGTCTTGTAGAATGAGACTACATCGGTTTCAGTTAAGCTGCCAGACACAACGGTGGTGGTGAAGGCAGATGGAACTGATGCACCATGTAGAGTGTAGGTGGTGGAAGTAACGATTTCGTTGTCTTCAGAATCAACAGTCTTGTAGAATGAGACTACATCGGTTTCGGTTGAGCTGCCAGACACAATGGTGGTGGTGATTGGAGCTGGAACTGATGCACCATGTAGAGTGTAGGTGGTGGAAGTAACGATTTCGTTGCCTTCAGAATCAACAGTCTTGTAGAATGAGACTACATCGGTTTCAGTTGAGCTGCCAGACACAACGGTGGTGGTGACTGGAGCTGGAACTGATGCACCATGTAGAGTGTAGGTGGTGGAAGTAACGATTTCGTTGTCTTCAGAATCAACAGTCTTGTAGAATGAGACTACATCGGTTTCAGTTGAGCTGCCAGACACAACGGTGGTGGTGATTGGAGCTGGAACTGATGCACTATGTAGAGTGTAGGTGGTGGAAGTAACGATTTCGTTGCCTTCAGAATCAACAGTCTTGTAGAATGAGACTACATCGGTTTCAGTTGAGCTGCCAGACACAATGGTGGTGGTGATTGGAGCTGGAACTGATGCACCATGTAGAGTGTAGGTGGTGGAAGTAACGATTTCGTTGTCTTCAGAATCAACAGTCTTGTAGAATGAGACTACATCGGTTTCGGTTGAGCTGCCAGACACAACGGTGGTGGTGACTGGAGCTGGAACTGATGCACCATGTAGAGTGTAGGTGGTGGAAGTAACGATTTCGTTGCCTTCAGAATCAACAGTCTTGTAGAATGAGACTACATCGGTTTCGGTTGAGCTGCCAGACACAACGGTGGTGGTGAAGGCAGATGGAACTGATGCACCTTGTAGAGTGTAGGTAGTGGAAGTAACGATTTCGTTGTCTTCAGAATCAACAGTCTTGTAGAATGAGACTACATCGGTTTCGGTTGAGCTGCCAGACACAACGGTGGTGGTGACTGGAGCTGGAACTGATGCACCATGTAGAGTGTAGGTGGTGGAAGTAACGATTTCGTTGCCTTCAGAATCAACAGTCTTGTAGAATGAGACTACATCGGTTTCGGTTGAGCTGCCAGACACAACGGTGGTGGTGATTGGAGCTGGAACTGATGCACCATGTAGAGTGTAGGTGGTGGAAGTAACGATTTCGTTGCCTTCAGAATCAACAGTCTTGTAGAATGAGACTACATCGGTTTCAGTTGAACTGCCAGACACAACGGTGGTGGTGAAGGCAGATGGAACTGATGCACCTTGTAGAGTGTAGGTGGTGGAAGTAACGATTTCGTTGTCTTCAGAATCAACAGTCTTGTAGAATGAGACTACATCGGTTTCAGTTGAGCTGCCAGACACAACGGTGGTGGTGAAGGCAGATGGAACTGATGCACCATGTAGAGTGTAGGTGGTGGAAGTAACGATTTCGTTGTCTTCAGAATCAACAGTCTTGTAGAATGAGACTACATCGGTTTCGGTTGAGCTGCCAGACACAATGGTGGTGGTGATTGGAGCTGGAACTGATGCACCATGTAGAGTGTAGGTGGTGGAAGTAACGATTTCGTTGTCTTCAGAATCAACAGTCTTGTAGAATGAGACTACATCGGTTTCGGTTGAGCTGCCAGACACAACGGTGGTGGTGAAGGCAGATGGAACTGATGCACCTTGTAGAGTGTAGGTGGTGGAAGTAACGATTTCGTTGTCTTCAGAATCAACAGTCTTGTAGAATGAGACTACATCGGTTTCGGTTGAGCTGCCAGACACAACGGTGGTGGTGAAGGCAGATGGAACTGATGCACCATGTAGAGTGTAGGTGGTGGAAGTAACGATTTCGTTGTCTTCAGAATCAACAGTCTTGTAGAATGAGACTACATCGGTTTCGGTTGAGCTGCCAGACACAACGGTGGTGGTGACTGGAGCTGGAACTGATGCACCATGTAGAGTGTAGGTGGTGGAAGTAACGATTTCGTTGCCTTCAGAATCAACAGTCTTGTAGAATGAGACTACATCGGTTTCAGTTGAGCTGCCAGACACAACGGTGGTGGTGACTGGAGCTGGAACTGATGCACCATGTAGAGTGTAGGTGGTGGAAGTAACGATTTCGTTGCCTTCAGAATCAACAGTCTTGTAGAATGAAACTACATCGGTTTCAGTTGAGCTGCCAGACACAATGGTGGTGGTGATTGGAGCTGGAACTGATGCACCATGTAGAGTGTAGGTGGTGGAAGTAACGATTTCGTTGTCTTCAGAATCAACAGTCTTGTAGAATGAGACTACATCGGTTTCGGTTGAGCTGCCAGACACAACGGTGGTGGTGAAGGCAGATGGAACTGATGCACCATGTAGAGTGTAGGTGGTGGAAGTAACGATTTCGTTGTCTTCAGAATCAACAGTCTTGTAGAATGAGACTACATCGGTTTCGGTTGAGCTGCCAGACACAACGGTGGTGGTGACTGGAGCTGGAACTGATGCACCATGTAGAGTGTAGGTGGTGGAAGTAACGATTTCGTTGCCTTCAGAATCAACAGTCTTGTAGAATGAGACTACATCGGTTTCGGTTGAGCTGCCAGACACAACGGTGGTGGTGACTGGAGCTGGAACTGATGCACCATGTAGAGTGTAGGTGGTGGAAGTAACGATTTCGTTGCCTTCAGAATCAACAGTCTTGTAGAATGAGACTACATCGGTTTCAGTTGAGGTGCCAGACACAACGGTGGTGGTGACTGGAGCTGGAACTGATGCACCATGTAGAGTGTAGGTGGTGGAAGTAACGATTTCGTTGTCTTCAGAATCAACAGTCTTGTAGAATGAGACTACATCGGTTTCGGTTGAGCTGCCAGACACAACGGTGGTGGTGACTGGAGCTGGAACTGATGCACCATGTAGAGTGTAGGTGGTGGAAGTAACGATTTCGTTGCCTTCAGAATCAACAGTCTTGTAGAATGAGACTACATCGGTTTCAGTTAAGCTGCCAGACACAACGGTGGTGGTGAAGGCAGATGGAACTGATGCACCATGTAGAGTGTAGGTGGTGGAAGTAACGATTTCGTTGTCTTCAGAATCAACAGTCTTGTAGAATGAGACTACATCGGTTTCGGTTGAGCTGCCAGACACAACGGTGGTGGTGACTGGAGCTGGAACTGATGCACCATGTAGAGTGTAGGTGGTGGAAGTAACGATTTCGTTGTCTTCAGAATCAACAGTCTTGTAGAATGAGACTACATCGGTTTCGGTTGAGCTGCCAGACACAACGGTGGTGGTGACTGGAGCTGGAACTGATGCACCATGTAGAGTGTAGGTGGTGGAAGTAACGATTTCGTTGCCTTCAGAATCAACAGTCTTGTAGAATGAGACTACATCGGTTTCAGTTGAGCTGCCAGACACAACGGTGGTGGTGACTGGAGCTGGAACTGATGCACCATGTAGAGTGTAGGTGGTGGAAGTAACGATTTCGTTGTCTTCAGAATCAACAGTCTTGTAGAATGAGACTACATCGGTTTCGGTTGAGCTGCCAGACACAACGGTGGTGGTGACTGGAGCTGGAACTGATGCACCATGTAGAGTGTAGGTGGTGGAAGTAACGATTTCGTTGTCTTCAGAATCAACAGTCTTGTAGAATGAGACTACATCGGTTTCAGTTGAGCTGCCAGACACAACGGTGGTGGTGACTGGAGCTGGAACTGATGCACCATGTAGAGTGTAGGTGGTGGAAGTAACGATTTCGTTGTCTTCAGAATCAACAGTCTTGTAGAATGAGACTACATCGGTTTCAGTTGAGCTGCCAGACACAACGGTGGTGGTGACTGGAGCTGGAACTGATGCACCATGTAGAGTGTAGGTGGTGGAAGTAACGATTTCGTTGTCTTCAGAATCAACAGTCTTGTAGAATGAGACTACATCGGTTTCGGTTGAGCTGCCAGACACAACGGTGGTGGTGATTGGAGCTGGAACTGATGCACCATGTAGAGTGTAGGTGGTGGAAGTAACGATTTCGTTGTCTTCAGAATCAACAGTCTTGTAGAATGAGACTACATCGGTTTCAGTTGAGCTGCCAGACACAACAGTGGTGGTGAAGGCAGATGGAACTGATGCACCATGTAGAGTGTAGGTGGTGGAAGTAACGATTTCGTTGTCTTCAGAATCAACAGTCTTGTAGAATGAGACTACATCGGTTTCAGTTGAGCTGCCAGACACAACGGTGGTGGTGACTGGAGCTGGAACTGATGCATCATGTAGAGTGTAGGTGGTGGAAGTAACGATTTCGTTGTCTTCAGAATCAACAGTCTTGTAGAATGAGACTACATCGGTTTCGGTTGAGCTGCCAGACACAACGGTGGTGGTGAAGGCAGATGGAACTGATGCACCATGTAGAGTGTAGGTGGTGGAAGTAACGATTTCGTTGCCTTCAGAATCAACAGTCTTGTAGAATGAGACTACATCGGTTTCGGTTGAGCTGCCAGACACAACGGTGGTGGTGATTGGAGCTGGAACTGATGCACCATGTAGAGTGTAGGTGGTGGAAGTAACGATTTCGTTGCCTTCAGAATCAACAGTCTTGTAGAATGAGACTACATCGGTTTCAGTTGAGCTGCCAGACACAACGGTGGTGGTGACTGGAGCTGGAACTGATGCACCATGTAGAGTGTAGGTGGTGGAAGTAACGATTTCGTTGTCTTCAGAATCAACAGTCTTGTAGAATGAGACTACATCGGTTTCGGTTGAGCTGCCAGACACAACGGTGGTGGTGACTGGAGCTGGAACTGATGCACCATGTAGAGTGTAGGTGGTGGAAGTAACGATTTCGTTGTCTTCAGAATCAACAGTCTTGTAGAATGAGACTACATCGGTTTCGGTTGAGCTGCCAGACACAACGGTGGTGGTGATTGGAGCTGGAACTGATGCACCATGTAGAGTGTAGGTGGTGGAAGTAACGATTTCGTTGTCTTCAGAATCAACAGTCTTGTAGAATGAGACTACATCGGTTTCAGTTGAGCTGCCAGACACAACGGTGGTGGTGACTGGAGCTGGAACTGATGCACCATGTAGAGTGTAGGTGGTGGAAGTAACGATTTCGTTGTCTTCAGAATCAACAGTCTTGTAGAATGAGACTACATCGGTTTCGGTTGAGCTGCCAGACACAACGGTGGTGGTGACTGGAGCTGGAACTGATGCACCATGTAGAGTGTAGGTGGTGGAAGTAACGATTTCGTTGCCTTCAGAATCAACAGTCTTGTAGAATGAGACTACATCGGTTTCAGTTGAGCTGCCAGACACAATGGTGGTGGTGATTGGAGCTGGAACTGATGCACCATGTAGAGTGTAGGTGGTGGAAGTAACGATTTCGTTGCCTTCAGAATCAACAGTCTTGTAGAATGAGACTACATCGGTTTCAGTTGAGGTGCCAGACACAACGGTGGTGGTGACTGGAGCTGGAACTGATGCACCATGTAGAGTGTAGGTGGTGGAAGTAACGATTTCGTTGTCTTCAGAATCAACAGTCTTGTAGAATGAGACTACATCGGTTTCGGTTGAGCTGCCAGACACAACGGTGGTGGTGACTGGAGCTGGAACTGATGCACCATGTAGAGTGTAGGTGGTGGAAGTAACGATTTCGTTGCCTTCAGAATCAACAGTCTTGTAGAATGAGACTACATCGGTTTCAGTTAAGCTGCCAGACACAACGGTGGTGGTGAAGGCAGATGGAACTGATGCACCATGTAGAGTGTAGGTGGTGGAAGTAACGATTTCGTTGTCTTCAGAATCAACAGTCTTGTAGAATGAGACTACATCGGTTTCGGTTGAGCTGCCAGACACAACGGTGGTGGTGAAGGCAGATGGAACTGATGCACCATGTAGAGTGTAGGTGGTGGAAGTAACGATTTCGTTGTCTTCAGAATCAACAGTCTTGTAGAATGAGACTACATCGGTTTCGGTTGAGCTGCCAGACACAACGGTGGTGGTGACTGGAGCTGGAACTGATGCACCATGTAGAGTGTAGGTGGTGGAAGTAACGATTTCGTTGCCTTCAGAATCAACAGTCTTGTAGAATGAGACTACATCGGTTTCAGTTGAGCTGCCAGACACAACGGTGGTGGTGACTGGAGCTGGAACTGATGCACCATGTAGAGTGTAGGTGGTGGAAGTAACGATTTCGTTGCCTTCAGAATCAACAGTCTTGTAGAATGAGACTACATCGGTTTCAGTTGAGCTGCCAGACACAATGGTGGTGGTGATTGGAGCTGGAACTGATGCACCATGTAGAGTGTAGGTGGTGGAAGTAACGATTTCGTTGTCTTCAGAATCAACAGTCTTGTAGAATGAGACTACATCGGTTTCAGTTGAGCTGCCAGACACAACGGTGGTGGTGACTGGAGCTGGAACTGATGCATCATGTAGAGTGTAGGTGGTGGAAGTAACGATTTCGTTGCCTTCAGAATCAACAGTCTTGTAGAATGAGACTACATCGGTTTCAGTTGAGCTGCCAGACACAACGGTGGTGGTGACTGGAGCTGGAACTGATGCACCATGTAGAGTGTAGGTGGTGGAAGTAACGATTTCGTTGTCTTCAGAATCAACAGTCTTGTAGAATGAGACTACATCGGTTTCGGTTGAGCTGCCAGACACAACGGTGGTGGTGAAGGCAGATGGAACTGATGCACCATGTAGAGTGTAGGTGGTGGAAGTAACGATTTCGTTGCCTTCAGAATCAACAGTCTTGTAGAATGAGACTACATCGGTTTCGGTTGAGCTGCCAGACACAACGGTGGTGGTGATTGGAGCTGGAACTGATGCACCATGTAGAGTGTAGGTGGTGGAAGTAACGATTTCGTTGTCTTCAGAATCAACAGTCTTGTAGAATGAAACTACATCGGTTTCGGTTGAGCTGCCAGACACAACGGTGGTGGTGAAGGCAGATGGAACTGATGCACCATGTAGAGTGTAGGTGGTGGAAGTAACGATTTCGTTGCCTTCAGAATCAACAGTCTTGTAGAATGAGACTACATCGGTTTCAGTTGAGCTGCCAGACACAACGGTGGTGGTGACTGGAGCTGGAACTGATGCACCATGTAGAGTGTAGGTGGTGGAAGTAACGATTTCGTTGCCTTCAGAATCAACAGTCTTGTAGAATGAGACTACATCGGTTTCAGTTGAGCTGCCAGACACAACGGTGGTGGTGACTGGAGCTGGAACTGATGCACCATGTAGAGTGTAGGTGGTGGAAGTAACGATTTCGTTGCCTTCAGAATCAACAGTCTTGTAGAATGAGACTACATCGGTTTCAGTTGAGCTGCCAGACACAACGGTGGTGGTGAAGGCAGATGGAACTGATGCACCATGTAGAGTGTAGGTGGTGGAAGTAACGATTTCGTTGTCTTCAGAATCAACAGTCTTGTAGAATGAGACTACATCGGTTTCAGTTGAGCTGCCAGACACAACGGTGGTGGTGACTGGAGCTGGAACTGATGCACCATGTAGAGTGTAAGTGGTGGAAGTAACGATTTCGTTGTCTTCAGAATCAACAGTCTTGTAGAATGAGACTACATCGGTTTCAGTTGAGCTGCCAGACACAACGGTGGTGGTGACTGGAGCTGGAACTGATGCACCATGTAGAGTGTAAGTGGTGGAAGTAACGATTTCGTTGTCTTCAGAATCAACAGTCTTGTAGAATGAGACTACATCGGTTTCGGTTGAGCTGCCAGACACAACGGTGGTGGTGACTGGAGCTGGAACTGATGCACCATGTAGAGTGTAGGTGGTGGAAGTAACGATTTCGTTGTCTTCAGAATCAACAGTCTTGTAGAATGAGACTACATCGGTTTCGGTTGAGCTGCCAGACACAACGGTGGTGGTGACTGGAGCTGGAACTGATGCACCATGTAGAGTGTAGGTGGTGGAAGTAACGATTTCGTTGCCTTCAGAATCAACAGTCTTGTAGAATGAGACTACATCGGTTTCAGTTGAGCTGCCAGACACAACGGTGGTGGTGACTGGAGCTGGAACTGATGCACCATGTAGAGTGTAAGTGGTGGAAGTAACGATTTCGTTGCCTTCAGAATCAACAGTCTTGTAGAATGAGACTACATCGGTTTCAGTTGAGCTGCCAGACACAACGGTGGTGGTGAAGGCAGATGGAACTGATGCACCATGTAGAGTGTAGGTGGTGGAAGTAACGATTTCGTTGTCTTCAGAATCAACAGTCTTGTAGAATGAGACTACATCGGTTTCAGTTGAGCTGCCAGACACAACGGTGGTGGTGAAGGCAGATGGAACTGATGCACCATGTAGAGTGTAGGTGGTGGAAGTAACGATTTCGTTGCCTTCAGAATCAACAGTCTTGTAGAATGAGACTACATCGGTTTCAGTTGAGGTGCCAGACACAACGGTGGTGGTGACTGGAGCTGGAACTGATGCACCATGTAGAGTGTAGGTGGTGGAAGTAACGATTTCGTTGTCTTCAGAATCAACAGTCTTGTAGAATGAGACTACATCGGTTTCGGTTGAGCTGCCAGACACAACGGTGGTGGTGACTGGAGCTGGAACTGATGCACCATGTAGAGTGTAGGTGGTGGAAGTAACGATTTCGTTGCCTTCAGAATCAACAGTCTTGTAGAATGAGACTACATCGGTTTCAGTTAAGCTGCCAGACACAACGGTGGTGGTGAAGGCAGATGGAACTGATGCACCATGTAGAGTGTAGGTGGTGGAAGTAACGATTTCGTTGTCTTCAGAATCAACAGTCTTGTAGAATGAGACTACATCGGTTTCGGTTGAGCTGCCAGACACAATGGTGGTGGTGATTGGAGCTGGAACTGATGCACCATGTAGAGTGTAGGTGGTGGAAGTAACGATTTCGTTGCCTTCAGAATCAACAGTCTTGTAGAATGAGACTACATCGGTTTCAGTTGAGCTGCCAGACACAACGGTGGTGGTGACTGGAGCTGGAACTGATGCACCATGTAGAGTGTAGGTGGTGGAAGTAACGATTTCGTTGCCTTCAGAATCAACAGTCTTGTAGAATGAGACTACATCGGTTTCAGTTGAGCTGCCAGACACAATGGTGGTGGTGATTGGAGCTGGAACTGATGCACCATGTAGAGTGTAGGTGGTGGAAGTAACGATTTCGTTGTCTTCAGAATCAACAGTCTTGTAGAATGAGACTACATCGGTTTCGGTTGAGCTGCCAGACACAACGGTGGTGGTGACTGGAGCTGGAACTGATGCACCATGTAGAGTGTAGGTGGTGGAAGTAACGATTTCGTTGCCTTCAGAATCAACAGTCTTGTAGAATGAGACTACATCGGTTTCGGTTGAGCTGCCAGACACAACGGTGGTGGTGACTGGAGCTGGAACTGATGCACCATGTAGAGTGTAGGTGGTGGAAGTAACGATTTCGTTGCCTTCAGAATCAACAGTCTTGTAGAATGAGACTACATCGGTTTCAGTTGAGGTGCCAGACACAACGGTGGTGGTGACTGGAGCTGGAACTGATGCACCATGTAGAGTGTAGGTGGTGGAAGTAACGATTTCGTTGTCTTCAGAATCAACAGTCTTGTAGAATGAGACTACATCGGTTTCGGTTGAGCTGCCAGACACAACGGTGGTGGTGACTGGAGCTGGAACTGATGCACCATGTAGAGTGTAGGTGGTGGAAGTAACGATTTCGTTGCCTTCAGAATCAACAGTCTTGTAGAATGAGACTACATCGGTTTCAGTTAAGCTGCCAGACACAACGGTGGTGGTGAAGGCAGATGGAACTGATGCACCATGTAGAGTGTAGGTGGTGGAAGTAACGATTTCGTTGTCTTCAGAATCAACAGTCTTGTAGAATGAGACTACATCGGTTTCGGTTGAGCTGCCAGACACAATGGTGGTGGTGATTGGAGCTGGAACTGATGCACCATGTAGAGTGTAGGTGGTGGAAGTAACGATTTCGTTGCCTTCAGAATCAACAGTCTTGTAGAATGAGACTACATCGGTTTCGGTTGAGCTGCCAGACACAACGGTGGTGGTGACTGGAGCTGGAACTGATGCACCATGTAGAGTGTAGGTGGTGGAAGTAACGATTTCGTTGCCTTCAGAATCAACAGTCTTGTAGAATGAGACTACATCGGTTTCAGTTGAGCTGCCAGACACAATGGTGGTGGTGATTGGAGCTGGAACTGATGCACCATGTAGAGTGTAGGTGGTGGAAGTAACGATTTCGTTGCCTTCAGAATCAACAGTCTTGTAGAATGAGACTACATCGGTTTCAGTTGAGCTGCCAGACACAACGGTGGTGGTGACTGGAGCTGGAACTGATGCACCATGTAGAGTGTAGGTGGTGGAAGTAACGATTTCGTTGTCTTCAGAATCAACAGTCTTGTAGAATGAGACTACATCGGTTTCGGTTGAGCTGCCAGACACAACGGTGGTGGTGACTGGAGCTGGAACTGATGCACCATGTAGAGTGTAGGTGGTGGAAGTAACGATTTCGTTGCCTTCAGAATCAACAGTCTTGTAGAATGAGACTACATCGGTTTCAGTTGAGCTGCCAGACACAACGGTGGTGGTGACTGGAGCTGGAACTGATGCACCATGTAGAGTGTAGGTGGTGGAAGTAACGATTTCGTTGTCTTCAGAATCAACAGTCTTGTAGAATGAGACTACATCGGTTTCAGTTGAGCTGCCAGACACAACAGTGGTGGTGAAGGCAGATGGAACTGATGCACCATGTAGAGTGTAGGTGGTGGAAGTAACGATTTCGTTGTCTTCAGAATCAACAGTCTTGTAGAATGAGACTACATCGGTTTCAGTTGAGCTGCCAGACACAACGGTGGTGGTGACTGGAGCTGGAACTGATGCACCATGTAGAGTGTAGGTGGTGGAAGTAACGATTTCGTTGCCTTCAGAATCAACAGTCTTGTAGAATGAGACTACATCGGTTTCAGTTGAGCTGCCAGACACAATGGTGGTGGTGACTGGAGCTGGAACTGATGCACCATGTAGAGTGTAGGTGGTGGAAGTAACGATTTCGTTGTCTTCAGAATCAACAGTCTTGTAGAATGAGACTACATCGGTTTCAGTTGAGCTGCCAGACACAACGGTGGTGGTGACTGGAGCTGGAACTGATGCATCATGTAGAGTGTAGGTGGTGGAAGTAACGATTTCGTTGCCTTCAGAATCAACAGTCTTGTAGAATGAGACTACATCGGTTTCGGTTGAGCTGCCAGACACAACGGTGGTGGTGACTGGAGCTGGAACTGATGCATCATGTAGAGTGTAGGTGGTGGAAGTAACGATTTCGTTGTCTTCAGAATCAACAGTCTTGTAGAATGAGACTACATCGGTTTCAGTTGAGCTGCCAGACACAACGGTGGTGGTGAAGGCAGATGGAACTGATGCACCATGTAGAGTGTAGGTGGTGGAAGTAACGATTTCGTTGCCTTCAGAATCAACAGTCTTGTAGAATGAGACTACATCGGTTTCAGTTGAGCTGCCAGACACAACGGTGGTGGTGACTGGAGCTGGAACTGATGCACCATGTAGAGTGTAGGTGGTGGAAGTAACGATTTCGTTGCCTTCAGAATCAACAGTCTTGTAGAATGAGACTACATCGGTTTCAGTTGAGCTGCCAGACACAACGGTGGTGGTGAAGGCAGATGGAACTGATGCACCATGTAGAGTGTAGGTGGTGGAAGTAACGATTTCGTTGTCTTCAGAATCAACAGTCTTGTAGAATGAGACTACATCGGTTTCAGTTGAGCTGCCAGACACAACGGTGGTGGTGACTGGAGCTGGAACTGATGCATCATGTAGAGTGTAGGTGGTGGAAGTAACGATTTCGTTGTCTTCAGAATCAACAGTCTTGTAGAATGAAATTACATCGGTTTCAGTTGAGCTGCCAGACACAACGGTGGTGGTGAAGGCAGATGGAACTGATGCACCATGTAGAGTGTAGGTGGTGGAAGTAACGATTTCGTTGCCTTCAGAATCAACAGTCTTGTAGAATGAGACTACATCGGTTTCAGTTGAGCTGCCAGACACAACGGTGGTGGTGACTGGAGCTGGAACTGATGCACCATGTAGAGTGTAGGTGGTGGAAGTAACGATTTCGTTGCCTTCAGAATCAACAGTCTTGTAGAATGAGACTACATCGGTTTCGGTTGAGCTGCCAGACACAACGGTGGTGGTGACTGGAGCTGGAACTGATGCACCATGTAGAGTGTAGGTGGTGGAAGTAACGATTTCGTTGTCTTCAGAATCAACAGTCTTGTAGAATGAGACTACATCGGTTTCGGTTGAGCTGCCAGACACAACGGTGGTGGTGACTGGAGCTGGAACTGATGCACCATGTAGAGTGTAGGTGGTGGAAGTAACGATTTCGTTGCCTTCAGAATCAACAGTCTTGTAGAATGAGACTACATCGGTTTCAGTTGAGCTGCCAGACACAACGGTGGTGGTGACTGGAGCTGGAACTGATGCACCATGTAGAGTGTAGGTGGTGGAAGTAACGATTTCGTTGCCTTCAGAATCAACAGTCTTGTAGAATGAGACTACATCGGTTTCAGTTGAGCTGCCAGACACAACGGTGGTGGTGAAGGCAGATGGAACTGATGCACCATGTAGAGTGTAGGTGGTGGAAGTAACGATTTCGTTGTCTTCAGAATCAACAGTCTTGTAGAATGAGACTACATCGGTTTCAGTTGAGCTGCCAGACACAACGGTGGTGGTGAAGGCAGATGGAACTGATGCACCATGTAGAGTGTAGGTGGTGGAAGTAACGATTTCGTTGTCTTCAGAATCAACAGTCTTGTAGAATGAGACTACATCGGTTTCGGTTGAGCTGCCAGACACAACGGTGGTGGTGAAGGCAGATGGAACTGATGCACCATGTAGAGTGTAGGTGGTGGAAGTAACGATTTCGTTGCCTTCAGAATCAACAGTCTTGTAGAATGAGACTACATCGGTTTCAGTTGAGCTGCCAGACACAACGGTGGTGGTGACTGGAGCTGGAACTGATGCACCATGTAGAGTGTAGGTGGTGGAAGTAACGATTTCGTTGCCTTCAGAATCAACAGTCTTGTAGAATGAGACTACATCGGTTTCAGTTGAGCTGCCAGACACAACGGTGGTGGTGACTGGAGCTGGAACTGATGCACCATGTAGAGTGTAGGTGGTGGAAGTAACGATTTCGTTGCCTTCAGAATCAACAGTCTTGTAGAATGAGACTACATCGGTTTCAGTTGAGCTGCCAGACACAATGGTGGTGGTGATTGGAGCTGGAACTGATGCACCATGTAGAGTGTAGGTGGTGGAAGTAACGATTTCGTTGTCTTCAGAATCAACAGTCTTGTAGAATGAGACTACATCGGTTTCGGTTGAGCTGCCAGACACAACGGTGGTGGTGACTGGAGCTGGAACTGATGCACCATGTAGAGTGTAGGTGGTGGAAGTAACGATTTCGTTGCCTTCAGAATCAACAGTCTTGTAGAATGAGACTACATCGGTTTCAGTTGAGCTGCCAGACACAACGGTGGTGGTGACTGGAGCTGGAACTGATGCACCATGTAGAGTGTAGGTGGTGGAAGTAACGATTTCGTTGCCTTCAGAATCAACAGTCTTGTAGAATGAGACTACATCGGTTTCGGTTGAGCTGCCAGACACAACGGTGGTGGTGACTGGAGCTGGAACTGATGCACCATGTAGAGTGTAGGTGGTGGAAGTAACGATTTCGTTGCCTTCAGAATCAACAGTCTTGTAGAATGAGACTACATCGGTTTCAGTTGAGCTGCCAGACACAACGGTGGTGGTGACTGGAGCTGGAACTGATGCACCATGTAGAGTGTAGGTGGTGGAAGTAACGATTTCGTTGCCTTCAGAATCAACAGTCTTGTAGAATGAGACTACATCGGTTTCAGTTGAGCTGCCAGACACAATGGTGGTGGTGATTGGAGCTGGAACTGATGCACCATGTAGAGTGTAGGTGGTGGAAGTAACGATTTCGTTGTCTTCAGAATCAACAGTCTTGTAGAATGAAACTACATCGGTTTCGGTTGAGCTGCCAGACACAACGGTGGTGGTGAAGGCAGATGGAACTGATGCACCATGTAGAGTGTAGGTGGTGGAAGTAACGATTTCGTTGTCTTCAGAATCAACAGTCTTGTAGAATGAAACTACATCGGTTTCGGTTGAGCTGCCAGACACAACGGTGGTGGTGAAGGCAGATGGAACTGATGCACCATGTAGAGTGTAGGTGGTGGAAGTAACGATTTCGTTGTCTTCAGAATCAACAGTCTTGTAGAATGAGACTACATCGGTTTCGGTTGAGCTGCCAGACACAACGGTGGTGGTGACTGGAGCTGGAACTGATGCACCATGTAGAGTGTAGGTGGTGGAAGTAACGATTTCGTTGTCTTCAGAATCAACAGTCTTGTAGAATGAGACTACATCGGTTTCAGTTGAGCTGCCAGACACAACGGTGGTGGTGAAGGCAGATGGAACTGATGCACCATGTAGAGTGTAGGTGGTGGAAGTAACGATTTCGTTGTCTTCAGAATCAACAGTCTTGTAGAATGAGACTACATCGGTTTCGGTTGAGCTGCCAGACACAATGGTGGTGGTGATTGGAGCTGGAACTGATGCACCATGTAGAGTGTAGGTGGTGGAAGTAACGATTTCGTTGTCTTCAGAATCAACAGTCTTGTAGAATGAGACTACATCGGTTTCGGTTGAGCTGCCAGACACAACGGTGGTGGTGAAGGCAGATGGAACTGATGCACCTTGTAGAGTGTAGGTGGTGGAAGTAACGATTTCGTTGCCTTCAGAATCAACAGTCTTGTAGAATGAGACTACATCGGTTTCAGTTGAGCTGCCAGACACAATGGTGGTGGTGATTAGAGCTGGAACTGATGCACCATGTAGAGTGTAGGTGGTGGAAGTAACGATTTCGTTGCCTTCAGAATCAACAGTCTTGTAGAATGAGACTACATCGGTTTCGGTTGAGCTGCCAGACACAACGGTGGTGGTGATTGGAGCTGGAACTGATGCACCATGTAGAGTGTAGGTGGTGGAAGTAACGATTTCGTTGCCTTCAGAATCAACAGTCTTGTAGAATGAGACTACATCGGTTTCAGTTGAGCTGCCAGACACAACGGTGGTGGTGAAGGCAGATGGAACTGATGCACCTTGTAGAGTGTAGGTGGTGGAAGTAACGATTTCGTTGTCTTCAGAATCAACAGTCTTGTAGAATGAGACTACATCGGTTTCAGTTGAGCTGCCAGACACAACGGTGGTGGTGAAGGCAGATGGAACTGATGCACCATGTAGAGTGTAGGTGGTGGAAGTAACGATTTCGTTGTCTTCAGAATCAACAGTCTTGTAGAATGAGACTACATCGGTTTCGGTTGAGCTGCCAGACACAATGGTGGTGGTGATTGGAGCTGGAACTGATGCACCATGTAGAGTGTAGGTGGTGGAAGTAACGATTTCGTTGTCTTCAGAATCAACAGTCTTGTAGAATGAGACTACATCGGTTTCGGTTGAGCTGCCAGACACAACGGTGGTGGTGACTGGAGCTGGAACTGATGCACCATGTAGAGTGTAGGTGGTGGAAGTAACGATTTCGTTGCCTTCAGAATCAACAGTCTTGTAGAATGAGACTACATCGGTTTCAGTTGAGCTGCCAGACACAACGGTGGTGGTGAAGGCAGATGGAACTGATGCACCATGTAGAGTGTAGGTGGTGGAAGTAACGATTTCGTTGTCTTCAGAATCAACAGTCTTGTAGAATGAGACTACATCGGTTTCGGTTGAGCTGCCAGACACAACGGTGGTGGTGACTGGAGCTGGAACTGATGCACCATGTAGAGTGTAGGTGGTGGAAGTAACGATTTCGTTGTCTTCAGAATCAACAGTCTTGTAGAATGAGACTACATCGGTTTCAGTTGAGCTGCCAGACACAACGGTGGTGGTGAAGGCAGATGGAACTGATGCACCATGTAGAGTGTAGGTGGTGGAAGTAACGATTTCGTTGTCTTCAGAATCAACAGTCTTGTAGAATGAGACTACATCGGTTTCGGTTGAGCTACCAGACACAACGGTGGTGGTGATTGGATAAGGGATTTGTATTGTGGTACTTATTTCTGTTGGTATTAAGACGTAATAGAGTATTTCTTCGATTTCTTCGTTGTTGGCGTTTGTTTTAGTCTTTGTAATTGTGGTTATTGTTGTAGTTTTTGAGATGTTAGTAATGAAGGTTATCGTGCTGGTTTCTTTTATTGTTGGATAAGCAATGAAGAAAACTATTTCTTTGATTTCATCTCCTTGTTCATTAGTAATTGTTGTAGTTTGTGTTGAATATGTTGTCCTGGTATTAACAGATGATTGTACCCTTGAATACTTTGTAGTTAATCTAATTGGAGTTAACACATAATATAAGGTTTTTGTAGTTTCTAGATATTTGTTATCTGTTACAGTCATTATCTTAGTCAGGTAAGTATAAGTGGAACTGAGTGTTCCAGCCTGGTAAATTGTCGATTGGATTTCCTTGATTGGAGTATAAACATGATAAATAGTGTCTATACTCCATGTACTATCCAGCCCAAACAACGTTACGAATTCGGTTGAAAACGTGCTTGTGTCACTTGAGCTCCAGGGTTTTCTTTGAGTAGAAATAAACAAGTTATCAGGAATACCAATATAATATATAGTTTCCGTGATTTCATCTCCATTTGTATTTGTTTGAGTTCGTATTTCAGTTGAAAAAGTAGTAGAATTGGTACCATCGATGTTGGTTCTTGTTTTTCTAGTTATATAAGTAACATGGGAAGGGGTAAAAATATAATAGACTATATTAGTCGTAACATTGCCCTGATCATCTGTTGTTAATTCAACGCTTGTTGAATAAGTTGTGGAATATTGGAGTGTCCCTAAAACTAAAGATTCTGAGTATGAAACATAGATTGGAATATGAACATAATAAATAGTTTGAGTTTTAGTTGTAATTTCCAAGTTTGAATTGTTTTCAACATATGTTGATATTGTAGTGGAGTAAAAGGTTGTATATGAGGATGACCACGGTTTTGTTAATGTTATTCCAGGGTTTCTTGTGGTATGGACATAATAAATAGTAAGTGTAGTATTATTTCCATCACTTCCTTGTGTTATTGTTAGTGATGTTTTATAAGTTGTTTCCCATGATCCTGTCCAACCATCCTTTGAAGTTGTTTTCAGTAGGTTTTCTGGAAACGCGACGTAATATACTGTGACAGTGGTGTCTCCGTCCAATCCAGAAGAAGTTGAAATATCAGTGGAAAACGTAATTATTTCTTTACCACTAATGTCGCTTGTTTTAGTTATTATCTTTGTTAGTTTCCTTATGGGAGTTTCTACGTAATATATCGTTTCGAGAATCAAATAACTATTTTTATCATAGAATGAAGAACTATGCGTTGAATAGGTTTGTTTCATTGTCACTGAAGCTGCCTTATAAATAGTAGAAATGCTTACTATTTTGGGCAAATATACGTAGTAGTAAGTGGTTGTAAATGTAGTAGTATTGAACCACCAGCCAGAAGTACTGTATGATACTGAAGTTGTAACTGATAGGTATGAACCAGTCCAGTATGATGTCTGATATATACCGACGTTCCTTGTTGTCAAGATATAGTATATGGTACCCTCTGTCTTTACACCATTGGTTCCGGTAGTTGTAATCAAATCAGTACTCACAGTTGAATAACTACCGGTCCAACCAATGGTAGTTGTCCTTTCAAAAAGATTGTTAGGATAAGCTACAACATATAAATTTCCTGTGCTTCTATTTCCGTCACTTCCGATATAAGACAAATGAGAAGTTGCAATAGTATAAGGGGCAGAACCAGTTTTTGAAACTCGTGTAGAAGAAGTTGATGTAATACTAATAACTGGTACAAATATATAAAAGTAAACAACCGTATATGATGTATAGTATATTAATCCGACATCACTTGTTTCGGTATGAAAGGTGATAGTTGAATTCACGTCTGTTAAAAATACAAGCTCCTTAGTAATTGTTGTAACAGGTACGCTTACATAAAAGATTGTAAGAGTTGAAAAAGAATTCCCAACAAAAGTAACAGATTTTCCTGTAGAATATATACTGAATTGTGTTCTACTCCACGGAGTTCCGATAGTAACTGTACCCACATTGTGATCATTGAAATTATTTGCTGCATCAAATTCAGGATAGTTAGTTGAGATTTTGGGAACTGCAACATCATATATAATAGTGGCTACATAATCTCCGATTTCATTGGTACTTAAAACAGTTTCAATAGAATAGGTGTAAGGCGACTCCCCTACCTTTTCTGTTGTTGTCAGCCTAGTTTTATAGATCTTACTTATGGGGTAAACAATAATCAATTCATTAATAATTGTTTCATATCCATCTTTACCAGTAATTGTAGAAGAAGTATGAAGTTCTTCTGGACTATCTTTCGTTATGTCAAATGAAGTCACTGTAGTTTCAGTTTGTATCACTGGTGTAAATACATAGAATATGATAGTATAATGTAAATAGCCGTAGTAACCAGTAGTTTTGTCTAGAGATTTAGAGTATGTTGATTCAAAGGGACTATTCCATCCAGTTTTTATGAAGCTTGTTGTGTCAATAACATACCCGTGACCTGCAATAAGTGATGGGAATAATAAGGATAATAATAATGTAAAAAATAAAAAATGCATATTATATACAATTTTTTGTCTACCTTACTATCCCTCAAATTTTTATTTTAATATTGTATTGAAAGATTTGGTTTATTAATTTTTTTCTTTAATAAAGCTATACGTATTTGTATTATTTTGCAATTTATTCACAATTATAATTTATTTACTGTGGATGAATATTTTGTTTCTTCATATATAGAAAGTGATAAAAAAAATGTTAAAAGGATTTTATATTTCCTTTCAACTTATAAATTATTAAAATTTGAAACTTGGTATTCAATATTAACAGTTATTATATTTATTTATGAAGAACCCATTTGGGGATCAATTGTTTACCAAATAAAAAATATAAATCGATACCAGTATAAACCTGACGTCATTTGATAAACTATCTATTAGGACCCGCAGCTCGAATAATTTTGATATTTTATAAATTGGTATCAGATTAACATTCGAACAAAACAAATCACATAAAAAAATGGATAGGTAAAATTTTAGAATTCATTAGTATTTTTATTTTTTCGAGTTTCAAGGTTTAGTTAACTTCTTTAGAAGGAATTTTCTATTGAACATCTAATAAAACTATTACTACAACATTACAAAAGAAGGGCTGTTTTCATCACATAAAACAGATTCTTCTAAAAACTATAATATTATTCTTGAACATGGAAGTTTGAAGTGTATGATCTATTTTGCATTTTCTACTTGATTTTAATAAGGTAAGATACGATTTAAACTCATCGTAAGATATTCTTTAAGTTCAACAGAGTAACTAAAATAAACATTTTTCCTATCGTATCATTATTTTATCGAGAAGAATTTAATATCTAGTAATAATTGAAAAACTCTCTTTTCTCTGAAAATTGAAAATATCTAGCCCAGGAAAAATACTTAGCACTCAGTTTATATCTTACAAATAAATATAATGGCAACCTTTAACAGATTAATCGTTCTATTATTGATAATTCATTTAATATTAGAGGTTTTAACTGAATATCAAAAATTGGTCGATTTTTCTTCAATTTTCATTAAACTGGTACCTAGCTGTTATGATGTATATTATTTGTCATACTATCTGTTCTTCAACAAGACCATTGCAAACAAACTTTGGCAACTCTTTAATGAACAATAATAAAGTTTCTTGGTCAAATATTACATTAAAAAATTGATAGTTTGAAATCAACCAATATTGTTTAAGGGTTGTCCGGTTCGTAGGCCAAAAGTTTTTTTTTCAATTTTTAAAAATGAGACGATTCTTTCATAATGATTACCCAGATACTCAAATACTTAATTCGATAATTATAGGTTAATACCGGCTAAGTTCGCCTCTAAGGATATATTGATCGTATATATGGCCTCAATAGAACGGTTTTTATTGAATATTATTATTTCCTATTGGAAATTCAGGAAGTTTCCTTTTAGAAGTCCTTGTTAAATAATAATATTGGACGCATATATATCTCCTTATCTAATTGACTCCAACCTTTTCTTTGAATTAATGATATTGTAGATCATTTTCTTCTATAAGTGATAATATAATTAGAGACAGTAGGTAATGGACTAGTCCTCATTAGAAGAAACGCTATATAATTGCCTTCTCTCACTTATGACACGTAAAAAAATGTTCCGTACATATTGTTAATTGTTGCCTTTCTATGATCAGTGATAAGTAAATGCGTTCCAATTCAATAGTTAATAATTTGATAGAAAAAATAAATGTGAGTATGTTCTTGATGATCGCTTTTTTTGGTGAAGCAATTTTATCATGTATATAAAATTTAGAAAACTTGACCTCGTTGAATAATTCTGATAGTTCTTAGAATGAGTGGAATGGTTTATAATTGTTCTTTATACCTTGTCTTATAATTTTGATTCGTATTCGAAAATTCAAATGTATCTAGTTGGTTCAGAACACTAATGAATATCCGTAAGGTTTTACTGATTGACACGAGTAAGCTGTTTTATATATTAAATAATATTGTATTAAAAACTAGTTTTGGTGTTATAAAGTGAGGAATAAATTGCTTGTTGTATAGTTAGTTTAGTTTAACAATTTCGTTTCCTGTCCACTCCAAAAATAAATAAAAAAAGAATAATAATAAACGGTGCTGAAAACTCATACCACATAAGCTAATTGAGTTTAAATTAGCGCCTCTACTAATCATCATTTTATGGATGTTGCATTAAAATAAAGCATATTATCCCAACTATAGAAAAATTATTTCCTCTACATAAGATCTCTCTATATCAGATTATCTAGTTCATTGTTCTCAGAAAATATAATAACGCTAACTAAAATGTTTGTATAAATAGATATTTACAGTATCTCGTTGAATTCGAACTATTAATAGTTATAACAATAAATTTGGAGTATATAATCTATCATTAACTAGTTGTTAGAATTGTTATCTAATGTTTTAAAGTCGTGTTGTTCGTTGGTAGATAACCTTCTTTCACATTATTTTCGTTTTCTCGATCTTACTTTATTATTAAGAGGGTTTGATCACTAATTTCTAGTACCCTCTTCAGGGTAAAGCTTTTGAGCCCTCTTCATTAGATGTCCGGGTAACCATATCTGGTCAAATTTTTGATTTTGATTAAAGTTTAACAACCGAACAAAGCTGACATGTAATGGCAAGAAAATGATCAAATGTTAATTCTTAGTGGGGGTTTGCCAGATGACACACAACATAAAACAATTGGTATCAATAATTTTGGTATAGTGAGTTATAGCATAAATGTTGATATGCTAGAATGTTATTGAGTTTATAAAAAGGGTATAATTGATGGTTTGATGGATTTAATGAAACATTATAAACATCATTTATCTTAGAGATAAGATATGTACTTTGTCTAGCAATATTCTGAAATCGATGTTTCATAAACAATTATATGTGTCAGTTATATATTCTATGTTCATTACTTAATATAGAGAGTTTCTAGAGCTTTGTATTAGCAAGATGGGAAATTAAATATTGACTTCTAAATGAATAATAATTTTATATTTGTAATTTCAACAACAATTGAAGGTTTAGATTGCTCTGCTGGAGACGATAAAAACAGATTTCTTTCAAGAATACTTGTATTCGCAATATCATTCAATTATTAATTGTAGAATTACACTCAAATCTTTGTTAGTAGCTGTTAGAATTTAAGAAAATACCATGGGTTGAAGCTATAAATTAGCAATCGAACCTCTCATTTGAAAAGCCCGTTCAAATATAGTCAATTGGATGTTTATAATTCTTTTATGTTGGAAGCTATTTCAAAATAAGATTAGAACAAAAAACAGTAAAAAAAAGATAAGAAAATGATCTCATCTAATGATTCTGGGTAGAACTAAAAAAATTCTGTATATGTGTTCGTGTATAATGATCATTTACCTCATGGCTTTGGAAGGTTTAGAGATTACAATGATTTGGGCCAGAAGACACTCTCTGACTATGAAAATTGGTATGCATGGAGAATTTAGTTACTAGAACAAGATACATCCTTAAAAAAGGCTGATGTGACTAGTTATACAAAAAAAATAACGTTTTCCTTATTTGACAAAAATTTTGGAATTGTCAAGTATGAAATTCTAACATTGACGCCCAAAACCTAAAATTATTTTGTTAGCTTTGGCTCAATAAGTGCCAACAACTTAATGTAATAGTAATATAAAAAGTTTATACTAGATAAAACTAACAGTTCTTGCTACTCATGCCACTATTAGCTAGGCGCTCGTATCAAATGACCCTTTACCTCCCCTGTTTTGGACCCTTCAAGAAGATAGAGATCTCCAGAAATAAGAAAGCTACCGATCTGTAATTTGGGTCAGGAAATGTTTTCATCACATATATCCCAAATTCCTATTATCAAAATCCTAACACATCTCTGCCCTCAGATATCATGAAAAGAACGAAAAATTATGGATTTAAGAACGGCTGAGAGATGATTGACCAGAATTGTGACTGAAATGAAAATAAAAACCCAAGAAAATATCCAACATGGCCGTGCTAATTAGGAATAACAATACCTCTAGAACTTACGTATTACGCCATTGGGACATGTAAAACCAAAATAAAGCTATATGTCAAGACCACTCGCCCTCTTACTCTGTCGTATTCTGCTTATTCCACCCAAGCCTATCTGACGAAAAAAAATATCTGACACATATAAGCATATCGGTAGCGGTACCAAAATATTCCATTCTGTCGCCTCCATCCTTCCCCATCATTTGCCAGAACCGGGTGTCAGCGCCGGCCATACCCAGCAGATCCCAGGTGTCAGCAGAACAACACAACCCTTCGCTGTCGCCAACCCCGCCAACTCCGCCACCGCCGCCACCACACGAATATGACTGAAGAAGACATTGAATTCTTGGAACTTACTTTAGAATCATTACAGAATGCTTGCAAAGATATACTCTCATTGAATGTATGTGTTGTGTTTTAATTCTTTTTTGTATATTTACTAACAAGAATAACAACAGATTTATAACGAATCCTCGAGTGACCATCGAAAAAAGTTTTTACCAAAGGAAGCACGTTTGTTTTTGGAACGAGTGTTTGAGAAGAAGCAGTCTTTAAATTCAAAAGAACGGGATGCTATAGCCAAAAAGTGTGGTCTAACTCCTCTACAAGTCAGAGTTTGGGTATGTATTGATCTTGTTTACAAACTAAAAAAACTATACTAACCTCCCCATAGTTCATCAACAAACGAATGCGTTCCAAATAGACACATCATTGGAAGAGTTTAATTTTGTCAAGCCCAAGTGTGGGTTTGTGGAGTGGGTAGGGCAAACATATGAGCGGGAGATGATGTGGTGTAATTAGATACGTGCGTGCTTTTTCAAAAAATGTTGCATTTCGTCAGTATCGACATCTTGTGGATCCTCGGAGGAAATGGCCTGCAACAATCCATCAAGCATAGCATCAACTTTATGCTCGTCAATTTTTAAACACAGAGACAAGACTCTTCTAAACTTGCTTTCTAAATCTGTCTGTTTTCGCTTTAAGCTTTGGGATGAAAAGCGA